TTTTTTTTTTTTTTTTTTTTTGAGACACAGTCTCATTATGTAGTTTAGGCTGGCCTTCAACTCATTATATAACTCAGGCAGGCCTTGAACTCTCAGCAATCCTCCTGCCTCGGCCTCCCAAGTGCCAGGACTATAGGTGTGTGACACCATGCCCAGCTTCTTGCCTCTAATATTACTTGGCTTTTCTTTTTAAACATCCTTGCAACTCATTAAACCACCTCGGTGTGTGCTGAAGGTGTGTGCTGGCTACTATTTTAGCTGTTAGGGAATCCAAGGTGAACAAAACAAATCAAACTTCCCTTAAGCTCACATTTCACAAAAGAAAGTACTTGGTCCGATCTCATCATCAGGAATTTACAGTACCAAAAAGTGAGAAAGAATGGCAGTGGTATCCAACAAAACAGAGCAGGAACTAGTATTTCAAGGAGTTGGCCATTTGGTGAATATTTGGCATTAAAATGACCTATGCTTCTTTTGTTTTTTTTTTTGGGGGGGGGGTGTTTTTCGCGGTACTGGGGATCAAACTCAGGAGACAGGCATGGTGCCACTGAGCTAAATCCCCAGCCCCTTATGCTTCTTTATATAACTCAGAACTTCAGGAAAATAGATAGCTATACCTAAAAATGCAAATCATATTCAATTTTCCTAAAGCTATGGTCTCTGTGATTTCTAGGCCAAAGAACTCAATTACAAATCTGGCTAGATCATAAACAAAAATCTGCCAGAGTCTGTAACATCTGAAAGCAGACTGAAGGGGTAATTCATCTTTGAAGTGGTACCCTGTTAAGCTACACCACTACTGTACATATCTATCACTGTTAAGCTACATTACTACTGTACATACCTATCTTCTACTTCCGTAACTGAGTCTTCACCCCACTTCCACTATGTATTCCTCACCGTATCTTCTCTATGTATATTTACTTCCTCCAGGATGCCGCAGTAGAGACAACTGTAATTTATATGCAGAGCACCCTTGACCTCATACCCTAATCTTCAACTGGAAATGACTGAGGTCACTTGGAGGGCAGCACTTCCTTCCATGACATTAGGATTCTTCCAATCTCAGAGCCAACTGTCACAATGATATTTCTCTCTCCTTTAGCAACTAAAGCTATTTTTATTCACAAGCAGTATAGTGGAAAGGCTGTGATGCCAGACCAATGGGCTCTCAAACACCTGCTTAGCCAATTATTAAAAATGTGGCCTTGGGTAATTTAAATCTTCTGTCCCTCAACTCCCTTACCCACATTAACTGAGGACAGCATGCCTTGGCTCACATGAGAGGACAGAATTATACAATGAGATCTAGAAATTAACAAGCATTTCTTCTGATAATCCAAAAAATTTTTTTTAAATAAAAAACAAGGGATGGGGATTTAGCTCAGTGATGCCACTGCCTGCCTCAAAAGCACAAGGTCCTGAGTTCGATCCCCGGTACCAAAAAGTAAATAAATAAATAAATAAATAACAAAGCTATAGATTTTAGGGGAAACAAAAAGCTATTTTAAAGAAAAAGCAAATTATAATGTTGTTTAGCTCTAAAGCAATGATGCCAAACCTTTCAGAGCTTTCAATGATGCAAAGCGCCCACTGTACTGCACGTGCTCTAGGTTCACCACCACTGTTCTAAGAGGTTGATAGAGAACTTAAGTAAGCAATCCATTTGTTCCTCGATACATGGATCATCCCCTTTCAGGCTGCAGTGATTTAGGGAAGAGACTTACATCACTTTTTTTTATCATTTCAATCCAATGTAAACACTATGAGCACACAATCAGAATACTGCAAATATGGCTTTTGACATTTCAACCTTAAAACTGATAAACGAAGCCTAGAAAACAATTCATGACAGAACAGAATATAAATGTTTTAACTCCTGATTACATATAGACCATGACACAGCAAGAGGCCAGGGTACGAAGGAAGAACGAAACTGTGCCTCGGTATATCTAAGGCAGAAATTCTATCTAAGGCATCCAAGAGAGATTACGTAAAAGTGAAAGATCCTAGTTAAGTGTGATGATGCAGGCTGTAATCCTAGCACTCAGGAGGCTGAGGCAGGAGGATCACCTTTAGTTGAAGGCTAGCTTGGGCTACAGGTTGAGTTCAAGGCCAGCCTGAACGAAAAGATCAAAAAAATGTGAGTATAAACCAGGCGTGGTGGCACATGTCTGTAATCCCAGGACTCTGGGAGGCTGAAACAGGAAGACAGAGTTCGAGCCCAACCTTAGTGACTTAGCAAGACCCTATCTCCAACTTAAAAATTAAAAAAGGGTTGGGGATATAGCTCAGGGCAAAGACCTTGAGTTCAATCCCCAGTACTGAAAATAAAATGTGAGTATATTAAAATCATAAAATCAATAAAGTAGCTGAGAAAACATAACAGAAAAACTGACAGGAAAAATGTTTTCAAAAGTGAGAAGGAAAAGTGAGGATACGTTTATTTATCTGTTATTATGTACTAAATAAAAAGTAGAAGCATTGTACTCTATTTAGGAGGTCAACTATCAGAAAATTAAAAAGAAGGCTGGGGATGTAGTTCAGTGGCGCCATGCCTGCCTTGAAGCGCAAGGTCCTGAGTTCAATCCCCAGTACCAAAAAAAAAGAAAATTAAAAAGGCAAGAAAGGTTAGAGATCTAGTCAATTGAGGCACAAGATTGAAATACAGAAAGTGAATACTTGGGGGAGGTTCAAACAGGGTCTCCTTGTATAGTTTCAGCTGGCCTTGAACTCATGGTGATCCTCTTGCCTCAGCCTCCCAAGTGCTGGGATTATAGGCATGTGCTACCATGCCTGGCTGAAGACTTTTCATTTTATGGTCTTATGTAGGTTTTGAATTTTGTTTTTATACTTAGACACTGCTTTTAAAACAGCAAGTGATTTTAAGTAGAAAAAAATCAAAATTTCACACAAAAAGTATTTGTGTATGCTTATGTATCTTCATAGATACAACAAAATGAAAATGCATTTACTTATTTTATAGTCAGTTCTTTTCCACTTAATATTTCAAGTATTTTTTTATATATCACAGATCAATAAACAGATCAATGGAGAAATGAATGGATACACAAATGGATAAAGACCCCCACTGTTAAAAGTGATCTTTTTTGGCTGGGCATGGTGGTACATGCCTGTTATCCTAGCACTCAGGAGGCTGAGGCAGGAGAATCACCTCAAGTTTGAGGGCAGCCTGGACTACACAGTGAGTTCAAGGCCAGCCTGAACTACAAAGTGAGACCTTGCCTCAGAAAAAAGTGATCTTTTGGTTTTGTAGTGATACTATCATATTTATTTCATCTTAATATTTTCTAAACTTCCAAATAACCTATATTAATCTTACAATCAGGAAAAAAAGAGGATTTCCAAAAGTAGGTAAAAATAAAAATCATGTGTCTGGCAGAAAATATAAAGGAAAGTAACCAGGCTTCAGCATACTTTTCATTCTCCTTCAACCCTTCGCCTTCATTTCTCTGAACTGTCTCTGAAGACACTACTTCATCCCCACCTGCCCTAACTTATTTTAGGAGTTTGCCCCACTGCCTCTTACCCATGTTCTTCCAGCAACCTCTCAATCTGACTCCCCAGCTCTAGTGACTTGCCCATCTAATTCACCCATGATAAAAATGCAGAACTAATGTCAAACAGTGCTCAGTTTGCACCTGACCATTCTTCTACTTCAGAAGTTACACTGACCTTTCACTGCCCAGAGTTTGGTTAAAATTTCCCTGATTCCGACTTCCCTTAAAGCCCAGTCCTCACAGCTGTTAGCCCCTAATTTGTATTACCCTCTCAAGCCTTCTATGTCCCCCCTCTTTCACAGCCACACCAGGCTCCAGCCACTTGCCCATTCCCCTGCTCTTTCTCAGGCTTTCTCACGCCTGTCCATCTTTTCCAAACTAGGAAGATCTACTAATCCAACTTTCAAATGACAGCTCCTCTTCCATCTTTCCACAAAGGCT